GTCTTTACTACAATTAAATATATAAATGATACATTCAACGCATCTTGCACAGTAAATACTATAAAAACATACCATGGATACGTAATGTATTATCAAATTCTGCTAGGAATAATTCAAGTGTAATCTTTTGTGAAAATTTATTGCATTCGTACCTAAAAATGTTATTACACCAACAGTATTAANGTCTTTACTACAATTAAATATATAAATGATACATTCAACGCATCTTGCACAGTAAATACTATAAAAACATACCATGGATACGTAATGTATTATCAAATTCTGCTAGGAATAATTCAAGTGTAATCTTTTGTGAAAATTTATTGCATTCGTACCTAAAAATGTTATTACACCAACAGTATTAACTGCTCGAGTGTAGCTTTTTAATTTCGTAATTGCAACCGATAAAAGATTTTACAATTGTATGAATAAATATAACAATAAACATGGGACATCTAATAATATAGGCCACGAATCGCGTACACGACAGATAAATCTTAATAAGTTCTAATCAGATGAGAAACTTGAGAGATTCGGTTCAAAGTAGATGGATACGTAATTGTTATTAAAATGACAAATATCGCTACTCAAGAGCAACTCAGTCTTTGCCAAATAATTCATTTTGAATGTCTGCACAAATTTGAATCCTTCATTCTCTTATTAAGTTTATTTATTTCATCTTATATCGTTGTTCTTTTTGTTGGAAACTTTGTAAAACATTACATTAATAAAAAATATTAGAAACTATTATGTTAGTATCAGAATTGTGATGCACTATTATCATAACCCCTTTAGGATGAATTTAATGAACAATAGTTGTAAACAATAGTAACACTACGTACTTTTAGTTTTCTATCTTAAATTACAATAGTTGGGCATGTATCGTCAAATTACAGTGTACAAATTTCATTTATCTGCCATATTTATATGCCGACATTATATGAACGATGGAAGCAAATGCAATAAAGAAATGCACACAATATAAAAATAAAATATATAAATCTCTCTGATTTTGCTCTGTGTTTTCCAAACATAACGTGGAACGTTTTTGATTTATTCCTAATAAATATAGTAAAGCAAAAATAAAATAAAATAAAATTCAATAGTAAGAGAGTTCAAACAATAAATATGTATACTAAAAATATTCAACTTATCGCTTTATATGTACACCAATAATAGTATAATTTCAATAAAAATTTGATCGCTACTTCCAAATATAAAATTTATCACATTAGGAATTATATTCGCAACGCTGTGTAAAACATCATTTCGTGGACAATTTTTGAAAAATCTCCAATTAGGTAAACAAAATCTCCTTATTAACATTATAAATGATTTTCTCCCCTTGTAATCAATACAGGCAGATACTTCGTAATTGGAAGCATTAAAAAACAACGTATTCGTATTATGATCTTATGTATAGTAGTGTATCTGGCAATAATGGATGAATTTTGAAGCGTTTGTAATTTCAGTGGTAGCTTGTTGTCTTTGGATGAATCATGTGAGAGATGATATGCAGGGCAAAACTTCTAATTTTCGAGTTTAGCGGATATTTTTTAGAGGAAACGCGAAGTAGGGAACATTACCTTATATAGAGAATAATTTTATATTCTTACCTAATCTATGATGATCTAACATTGTTAAAGAAGCTTCCTACATGGATAGAGTTGAACCCCGCCAATGATTTCCGAAGAACATGCCAACAAGTTTAACGGGCAGTCCATTAATTATTCATTATTAAAAATACTCTGCTGTTTATATGACAGTGTCTCTAAAAAAAAGTTTTAACAGCTGCTGCTTTTGATCGATCTCGAAGTAGTCTGTAAAAGTATAATTTTTCAAATATTCGAATACATTGAATTTGGCATTTTTCTTTCTTTTAGTTTGTCTTTTTCGTACTGGAAACAATGATGGGAGTTTTCATGGTAATATTAACTCGATCGATCTGAACATAATATGCAATATACATTCAGATAATTACACACACGCACACACATGTTCGCTTTGCATATTATATAATATTATCTACTATTTAAATTTATTTGCTTAAATTTCAAGCAACATTTGTATAATTATAAATCATGCTAAACTTTGAAACTTATATCAAGCAGAAAAATATGTTATATGCCATTTGTATTGCAAGTTTAAGCAGTTAAATGTCACTTGTAAAATATTATACATTCAAGAGAGTATTAAAGTTATAAAAGGATATGAAATCATTACCTATCTCGGGGAACGAGAAAAGTATGGAGAATCATTAGAACATTTGGCACGAACGTACCGTGCATGCCATTCAATGAAAAACATCTGTTGCGATATATCCGTTAATTATGATAACGTAATATTGAAATATATTCGAGTTCTTGACCAAATTTCCACCAGGATTTTGTGTAAACGTTGCTATTACATTTTACTATATAATATTTTGTTCAGTATTCTATCTTACATATTCCAGTCTGATTGAAATGCCACTGAATAATATTCTTATTTTCTACATGAAAAATACCTTGAAAGATGTCTTTATCGATGGTGCGTAGTTTACTATCGGTATTTTAACATTTCAACATTTCAAATGAGTGATAAAATTGTTATACTCCCTTGTATAAACTTATTCAAGTCAGGCACGAATAAAACGCCGTAATCTGGCTCGAGCGCTTCGAGCCCAGCCTTTGTGTAACGATAAATTATTTGGCAATGTTTCGATGTTTAACATAGGCGGACAGTTCTGTCATGTGCGTTGGTTACTGTACGCCAGCCACCGAGCATCATCGCTTTCATGAGTTAAATAACGGTATCCCACCTTCGATTCTAATTCTCGTAAGTCACACCATGTTTGATAATCCTGGAAAAAACGAAGTGGAATTACAACATCCTCGATGCTTGTGTTCATTCATTTACTACCCGACGCTTACTTGAAGCCATATATGTTGTAAACTTTTGTCTACAGTGTAACGTTTCCTTTGTTTTACTTGCAACAAATTATTGATCAAATCGATTGCTGGAAAAACATATGTGTATATATATATACAATATATATATATATTATATTTCGATTGTATTTAGTGTTAAAAATATGTGAAAAACCAAAAGAATTTTCTCATAAATTGGCAATTCTATACCATCGGATGAAATTTCTTGCCAAGGAACAGGTGGATACATGAAAGCAGCATTCTGAATTTGTTCATTGATATCTTCTTCCTCGTTGAAAGGGAATGTACCGCTTAAAGATACATAAATAATTACACCGACACTCCACATATCCAAAGATCGATTGTAACATTTGTTTCTTAATACTTCTGGTGCTAAATAAGCGGGTGTGCCAACGACGCTTCTTCTGAAACTTTTCTCGCCTATGATTCTAGCGAAACCGAAATCGCACAGCTTCACTTGAGTAAATTCACTGTCGCTGCTTAACAACACGTTTTCTGGTTTCAAATCGCAGTGAACTATATTCTTGCTGTGCAAATGTTTCAATGCTACTAATATTTGTGTAATTAGGAATTTAGTGATTCTCTCGCTGAGGCGGCCACGTTCCGAGCTCAATATCATTTCTAACATATCTCCCTTCAGCTTCTCCATGACCACAAATATTCGTTCTGTGGTCTCAAACATCCGTTCTAGATTTACCACACCACTGTGGGAAAGATTTTGTAGAATAGCGACTTCATTTTTCAATTGTGCTTCTTGCTTTGTTGGAAATCGCAGCTTGTCGATTACTTTTATAGCAACTGCCCGACCACTCTTACGATGAACACCTCCGTATACAGTACCAAATTGACCAGAACCTAGTACTTCATCTGGAAAGATCTCATATAACTGAGACATGTCTGTGACATTTTCTTCTGGTTCTGTAGTTTGTTCCTGGCCTAAAATAATAATAAGTTTATTATCAAATTTCTTAGAAAAACACGTAAAGTCGGGATACACACTGTTCGATACAGTCGTCACAGGCATAAGTGCTTGTCTAATACTAGTTTCCCACGATCGAGCTACATGTGCTCCGATACCACTTTCTGGAGGAGGAACTTGACTACAATTATCTCTATACGAAGGATCTTCTCCAACATAATACTCAACATTGGCAGTTTTCAACTCGAAACAATGCATCGTGCCTGTAAACATGAGTAACATATTAGCAAATTGAAAGACAATTAATATTAATTTCATTAATTTAATACAATAAAAACTTGTGCAAAGCTTAAGTCGGTACTTGATCGAGATGTTTTTGCAGCTTCGATTGATATTATCTCGACCAATGGAATTTCTTTATAATATTTGGAGCTGTTTTCGCTTTGAAATAATGTGATAGCTTTTGTATCGAGACGCCAATAATGCTTTTTTCTCTGAAAATATTAAAATACAGTTTGGAAAACTGATTACTGCACAGTTGTCTTTACATAATGCGTATATAATAATTATCTACCATCGAATCACGATTTGTAAAATGTACCATCCAACCTTCTTTTAGAACTTTTGAACCACGTCGTTTCGTGTGTTTTACACTTTGCACTATACGCATTAAAGGTATGTTATTGCTTGGCGTGGAACTGCAGCTATTAAAGTAAATATTGTATATAACAAAAAATTAACGCTACAACACATTCGTGTACCTAACAATTGAACAAATCTAACTCACCTCGATGGTCTTGATTTTTGACACTCGTCATAATTAGTATCATCGTTGCTTGGAACTTGTTCCTACAATAATAATTAGTAACAGTTAATTAAATGAATGCATTTTTCTGTTTTGTTAAATCAGTGGCCTACATAAAGTATTAATGTTAATACTTTATAGCATTATAAAGGAATTTTACAGAATAATCTTCAGGTGTTTTCGTTTCGTCTCCAGCAAATGATGAATGTTGTGGCGGTGATGGAGACTCGGCATCACTATCACCATCGCCTTCTTCGTTCCTTCCATCGCATTTACCTTCTGGTTCACTGCCTACTCCGCTATCTGGGTACTCATTACCTGTATAACAATTTCCATTAACACAATAGTCTTTTCTGTCAACTATTTAGGTCTGCCGAAAGTTCTATCTTCTTAACTAACATTTATTTTTGTTTACTTCAGAGTGTTGGAAGCAATTTGGATCGATAAGGACAACAACTAAAATAAAATCGTTCCCAAGTACATGCATCGTTTGGGATTTGCTTAAAATACTTATAATTTGTAAAATTAGTTGACAATTGCTATCAACTATTTCTGTACCATTCAATTGAGGAAAATAAGAAGTATATGTATGAAAATAATGTTCTAAAGGAAAATACGTACTACTGATCTAGAAAATTGTACTGATTACAACAAAATCATGGTTTTTTGCATTAGGAAACACAAAAATTCCTACATTCAATAGGACAAAGGGAGCTTAATTTACTGTAAGTTTAACAGGTAATGGCAACAAGTAATGGAAAAACAGGTTGTAATAGAAAGTGTGAATTTTGCATTACGATGACATCAGGATACATGCGTTTCTATGCAAAGACGCAAGACAGAATGAGGAACCAAAATGGGTAGGGCTACAATTACTTTTCGCATTCTTCAGACTGCACCTTCGAATTATCATGAAATCAGATTTATGTAGATCTCTTTCTGAAGAAATACTTTCCATCGAATTCACATTACTCGTGTAAACTACAATTTTACGGAATTTCAATTAAAAATCATTTCGATATGTGGGAAGAGATCAGAGATTACATATTGGCGATCTCAACTTCGATTTTTGCGGAGTAGTATTTCGAATCGCGAACGAGCAGAACTTTCCGGTAAACCTAATGGATATCAAAGCAAGTAAGTAAAACCTGTATTGTCTCGTGTATTTTCTCCGGTACAGTCTTTAGGTATTTTTTCAATACACTTTTTGTGTGCATTGTACTGACAATCTTTACATTGGAGGCCTTGCTTAAATAAACCTCTCAGCAATTTTTTACAGTGTCCGCATACAGTTGGCCTAGTGTATGTGTGCACCACAAATGTATGCGGAATTTTTATACGGGTCGCAAGTTCTCGTTCGACCCAAACTGGTCTTCCTCCCAGTGAAGGAGAACGGGATTGTTTTGGAGCCAGTATACTTGGTATTGTCTGGACATAGGAGATAATTACAATACACAAAATATAATATCAAGATGAGAAAAAAGAACTGAACAGGTCGTATGTTAGGCGTTACAAGAAATCCTACCAAAGTACTATTATTTTGGCTCACGTTCAGCATATTATTTGTACTATGGTTATCGTCGCTGATGCTGGTCAAACTACTGGTAGACCCTTGACTCGGAGATCTTGGTACATTCAGCATCGCTGAACTACGTCGTCTCTGATTGGCATCTTGTGAGCAATTATTAGGTATTTTAACAACGCATCTTTTGTGATAATTCATCCCACATCCTGCACAATAGAAAGCTCTAAACTTTAAAAGCTCCAACTACCATGGTTATCGTGTTATTGTATTCTTTAACATATTTACCTTCACACTTTAAACCTTGCCGAACAAGACCAAATAACATTTCACCACAAAAATCACAAAATGTTGGAACCTTGTACGAATGAACGGTTAAAGCATGAGAACGAATGGGAACTTCTTCATTTGGCACTTGCGCTGAATCACGAGATATGGAATTAATTAGCTTGCGAATGAATAGATTTTCTGGTTTGCGATATTGCACGAAGTCATAAAGAACATTTTAACGGAAGCAATCATTTTGTCGATAAAAGTTTATAAAGAAAGATATCTCCATAGAAAGAGCAATATTTACCAGTCAAAACAATTTCTACCAGAGTTTCGTCAACAACTTCTGTTGTATTCGTAATAAGCTGCAGTATATTGTTAGAATTATAATCGTGCTTGAATAAAAGCAATCGTTCGAATAGGTGATTTAAACCATGCTCTGGACATTTGGCATTTATAAAATCGCAGGCAAATTCCTTAAGAGCCCTAAGAGTTAACGTGCTGCTATCGACAGTGACAGTGTCACGAGTCAAACCAAATTGAAATAAAAATGTTACTTCTGGTCCCTCCATGTTATCTATATTATTATCTGTGCTCTGCAAATATATTTATAAGTTAGTTTTCCTTGAAAAAAGCAGGACATAAGAATTTTCTCTCTCTTTTAAATTATTAACAAACACTAAATTGTATACAGTCTTATTTGTATCTAAACGTTATCTTTCTCCAAGAATTCTGCTATTCAAAATTCATTGTGCAAATTTTATTTCTAATCTGAACTTTATTCGTTGTGTAGGATAAACGATCGACAAAACCAATTAATTCAAAGTGTCGCAGAAAATATTAATAAACAAGCGGTCTAACACTATTAAAGCATTCGTAAATATCTTCGAGAGTTCTAAATTACACTCAGACCACATGAATTTCGTATGAAAAAAACGAGGAAAAAAAGAACGGTAGTCTACCTATGTGTATAGTGGCAACTGTAACGTTTACTTCATTTAGACAATAATTGTATTACGTACATATCGGTAAATTGGCAGAAGGCGCTGTTTATCTACGTATGTAGTCGGATTCTTATCAATCAAATTGACACTGATGAAACATAGTTAATGTAACAACAGATCCCACAAGTGTCACCTAGGAGCGTCAAATCCATGCCTGACACACATTCGTCGATGACATTTTACAGTTATCTCCAGGTGACCGACCCACCTTTGCTGTACACTTCTACCTGTTATACAGTACTCTCGCGATATTAGCTCAGGAACTGATATACAATTGTATGTGTGTTTCCCTAGAAGTTCTTCAATCAGTAGTAATATTAATATGATTCTCGTGCCATCCTGGCGCATACAATCGAAATATTAGACGACATGACAAGCGATGAACGTTCAAACTGGATCAAAGTAACAAGCAGTTACGAGTTTGCATCGTTTGCGCGCCACTGTCCAGAATCCAGAATACGTATGTACCAGGAAGCCTATTAGGTACCTGTATGTACATACATGTAATTTATGTATAATGAACATGTTCAAAATTTGTCCCATTGTCGCCGTTGAAATAGAATTTTTATAATTCCATTACATGTATGTATTCCTAATTGCACGATGTTTGTTTATTTATAATTTTAATGTACACAGAATCGACATTCAAAAATAAATTTTTGTTCAGACCGAGAGAATGTTCATACAATATTAAAATAACAGGAAATTGTTATTTAATGTTCCTCATTATAAAGTGTTGTAGTTCAAAAATTCCGACCCGAATTCTTATATATATATATATATATGCATGATGTACACCTATTGGTTGGTGTCAAGGATTCTGCTGGCGAGTGGTAGAATTGGATAATGCCAATGGATTCCAATTGTAATCCATTGGTATCATCCAATCCCATTCGTGAGGTCTCCCCTCCACCACTAGGAGCAGATTCCGAGCACCGTTGCCGTGCATTCCATTTCGTCAACTCAAATGTCACGTGATTCCATCCATGACGTTCGGAGAGTCAGTTCAGCAGAGTAGGGGTAGAGGGCAATCTGATAATCCGACGCGACGCGACCAATCACAAACGTGAGAGTATTCTTGGCAACCGTGCTGCCCTCTACCGCTACTCATCCGAGACGTCATCGATGGAGTTGCGTGATCATTAGATGGAATGCACGGCAACGATGTTTCCGAGTGTAGCAGGGCACGAGCCCATTCAGCCACACTGGGTACACTGTACACTGTATGTACATTGTTTCGTACTTCGCCTGTGACATGCTGTCATTTATAACTATACACGTGGTGGAGGTACAGTTTTAAGCAACGTGAATGCATTTATGAATGTTGTTATTATAATTTCAATTGTATAGAGAAAAATGACTTACAAACTTTCGGTCAACTCTAGAAATCCGCCGACAGGTAAGCTACGTACAAATCATTATACAACTTGCAACTCGAGAAATTGTATTTCAAAAGGTATTCATAACAGATGTCAGTGTAGTATTGGTAATTTCAGTTTAAACTTTGCTTTCATCTATATTTTAAATTTTGATCACACATTAACTATTGAGAATAAAGTCTATTTGTTCGAAAATATATGTAACGGAATATCTGATGCAATGCCTGTTAAAATTAAGTGTACTCTTGTATGAATGAAACTCTAATTATCATATCAATGTACTTATTAGATTCAATAATATTAATTCGTATGTGTTTTATTTATATAGACACCTTGATAGTAGTAGAATTAATTAATTCTGAAAGCAAGAGTAAAATCGATGTACTTTGGCGCGATGATTGGACGAAGAAGGAAAATGTTCAATTAATGGATAGTCAGAATAAAGTGTTAGCAGAAACAAGTAATGAAGTAGGTCGTTATTTTGCTAGAACTACACACATAAATTTATATGGTATGTATGTATATAGATTTAATCTTCCATAATTTCACATGTTTCATTGATGCATATATTCATTTATTATATATTTACATCTATTGTCACCTTTGTTTAGGAGGTACCGATCCTCTTGAAAAAACTAAAGTCGATCATTGGCTATCCTTCGTGATTGGTTCTTACGGACGCGGTCCATTAAAAGAGGATCTGCTACGTTATTTGGATAATATATTGATGGCAACCACTTGGTTGGTTTCTAAAAAGTTGACGTTAGCCGATATCTCTGTATTCTGTATGCTTTTGAATAACGAATTTGTAACAAAGTTTGAGAGACAATTTGTTAATATAAACAGATGGTACAGGCAAATACTTTCGCTGCCTGCTGTCGCAGAGGTATTATCGTCGATTAAGAAGAATACAAAAATGATCGTTGTTAACAATGTGCAATCTGAAAAAGCTACTAAGAGACAAACTGGCCAAAGAAAACAGGAAGGTAAATTCATTGATTTGCCTGGAGCAGAAATGGGAAAAGTATGTAATATATTTTTATAATACGCACAGAGTATCCCAGCTAAAGCTACACTTAAATATCTACCTTATTTATTGTTATATATACGATGAAACTCCTCGGTTCAATAATATAACTTTCTCATGAAAAATATTTACAAGAGGATAAATAAAGCATATATTTAGATAGTTCCATTTAGCTAAAGTATCTTACGGATTGTATACATTGTCCATTTAATTTGTTTAATACATTTTTAGAAATCTATTTAATCTTATGCTAGGTTGTAGTACGTTTTCCACCAGAAGCAAGTGGATTTCTGCACATTGGTCATGCTAAAGCAGCTTTGTTAAATCAGTATTACGCGGATACCTTCAAAGGACTACTTATTATGAGATTCGACGATACAAATCCTGCAAAAGAAACTCTAGAATTCGAGAAAGCTATTCTGGAAGATTTAGAGTTATTAAAAATTAAACCTGATCGATTTACACATTCGTCCGATTATTTTGACTTGATGTTGGAGTATTGTACTAAATTAATAAACGAGGGAAAAGCATATGTGGATGATACTCCTGCTAATATAATGAAAGAACAACGTGATCAAAAATTAATGTCATCGAATAGAAATAATTGTAAGAATTAACGCCTTACAGGACGAAACAGCCTTATCGTTAGATTTTCACGAATTTGTTCTTTATTTTAGCAATAGAGAAGAATCTTCAACTATGGAACCAGATGCAACAAGGGACTGCAAAGGGAGAAGAATGTTGCGTTAGAGCAAAAATTGATTATGAATCGGCAAATGGATGTTTACGAGATCCAACGATATATAGGTGTAAACCAGAGCCTCATCCTCGAACTGGAACAAAATACAAGTATATGAGTTTTTATTAGATATTAAAAAACAAACAAAATTGTGTCATATGTTAATAATATTTTCATTTTTCGCTAGAGTCTATCCAACGTATGATTTCGCTTGTCCCATCGTCGATGCTATAGAAAATGTTAGCCACACTTTACGTACAACGGAATACCATGACAGGGACGTCCAATTTTATTGGATAATTGATGCTCTAGGTTTGAGACGTCCTTATATATGGGAGTACTCACGTCTGAATATGACCAACACTGTACTTTCGAAACGAAAATTAACATGGTTCGTTGACGAAGGTCTCGTTGACGGATGGGATGATCCGCGTTTTCCCACAGTAAGGGGTATTTTAAGAAGGGGAATGACTGTCGAAGGGTTGAAGCAATTTATAATTGCTCAAGGGAGTTCTAGATCTGTTGTTTTCATGGAATGGGACAAAATATGGGCATTTAACAAGAAGGTTATCGATCCGATTGCTATCAGGTAAGTTGATCTCGAAATTTTCTGCCATAAATTTTTCTTTAAATAAAAGTGGTTTTTCTTTAACTCGTACTCTCTCTCTCTCTCTCTCTCTCTCTCTCTCTCTCTCTCTCTCTCTCTCTCTCTCTCTCTCTCT